AAACATGGGAGACAAAATCAATATTGAATTATTCAAGATGAAGTGACAAAAATTAGAAATGCAACAATTATATATAAGTTTCACAGGAGCTAATATAGAAAATCTAAAGAACTGATGGAAAAAGTCTTGTTTTAGAATTGAAAATCAAGTAACATATTTTTGCATTTGAACAATTGCTTTAATCCCTATCATACCCTGGAGTTTATGGAGGAGGAAGTGCTATAAAACTGTCTATTACACTGCACCTCACAATAACAACTAGATACATGAGCTGCATTTAGTACAAATGTGTACAATAATGTGACAAAGATACTAATGAAAATACAAACTGCACAATTAAAGGCAAAGAGAAGTTCCTACAGACTTATAGACTTGGGACACTCATTCTATTAGCTAAGAAACTAACACTTCCAAAGGATCAGAATACACTAACTAAGTGCCTATTCTTCACACAGCCATGAACACAGCAAAGAAGTTTCCTGATAAACCTCAGCCCAGACTCAAAAAACAGCAAGATCTCCAGGATGTACTGACAAAAGTTGGGCTGTCTGTCGACTACTGGCTGCCTAAGCTTCAGGAAGACCTGGGTGTGTCCTGTGCCCAGGCCTTACAACACTTAGAAGAAAAAGACCTCCAGAAGCTGAAGTCCCAGACACAACATACGTGGGAGAAAAAGGCCCTAGAGAGGCTGCTTGACCTCTCACAGACAAATAGTATTGCAGAGTTCCAGGAGACTCCAGGACAGATGATAAGGTACAGGCAGAGGCAGGCAGGACAGGCACTGCAGGAACTGAGGGCCTTGCAGTCACAGGGAAAGCACAGACAGGAAGAGGCAGTGCGGAGGAAAGAAGCAGAGCTGAGACAAGCAATGGAGATCCCTGAAGAGTGCTGGCCAAGGCCTGAAGTGTCCCTAAAAGACATCACTGTAACAATGGAAAAACATCTCAAGGACGTGGAGCAGAAACTTCCCTACAGTGGAAACCTCTCAGATAGAGAGCTGGTAATATGGGCATCTGGAGGGCTGGCTCTTCAGGGAATTTATAAGACAAGAAAGCAAAAGGACCTGGTAGTGAGGAGAGAAGAGCTACTCAGGCTCCCCAAGGAATTCTCCCTCTTTGGACCTGAGCAAGGAAAAAGAATGGAAACAAAAGAATTCACATCATCTCAAGCAGAATCCATGTTCACCAAAACTGTGGAGAAGCTGGGATTTGGAACAATGATATCAGCCAAAGGTGGATGCTTGGGATTTAGTCTGGAAGGTGTTATAGATCAAAGCAAACATTCCGAATCTAAGGACACTCACCAGTCATATTCAGAGCATTCTTATTTCTGTTCAGCCAAATTCAGCTATGTGCCCCTGGCCTCCTTCCACTTTCGAACTGATCAGCTGCAACTCTCCACTGCTGCTCTCAAGGAACTGAAGTTCATTGAAGAACAACTGGAAGACACTGATGGACCAGACAGATTCCTCTTTCTGAGGAACAGGACTGAAAACTTCTTCAACAGATTTGGCTCCCATGCTAATCAAGGCCCTCTACACCTCGGGGGAATCTACTGCTGGAAGGCCATTTCAGAGGGTTTCAAAAGTGACCAGTTGGATTGTGTGAAACAGCAGACAGCAGCAGCTTTAGAAAGTTACATAAGAAGGAGCTCCAGTGGCTTTGGGACTGATGTTGTTAGAAGGACAACAGCATCACACTCACATTATGTAAGATCCTGCCAGAATGCAACTAATGAAAAGCTTCAATTCAATGTCCAGTTATCTGTGGCCCAGATTGGTGGGCCAGCAGAAGCAAATGGAATTGTTCAGTGGACAGCTGGCCTTCTTGCCAGCAACAAAACCTGGTCTATCATTGACCAGGAACTTCAGTTGGTACCTATTTGGGACATCATTCTCTGTAGCCACAGAAGGGATTTTAAGGAGCCACTTCTTGTGGCTAAGTGCCTGAAAGACAGCTACACTGCACTGACTGGACTTGCTGTTCAAATACAGGATGAAGAATATTTCCACACTGTTGGGCAAGACATTAGATTTTTCCAAAAAAATGTGAACCTCCAAGAGGTTTCTGACTCCATGAAATCATTAAATCAAAAAACTAAAAGTTATGACATTTGGATTCATATGTTTTTCACAGATTGGCAACTGCAGAATTTTCTAATTAGCACAATCAACTTCCTTAAAGAAGCAGCTACTTATTTAACTCAGTTTATTAGTACTCTGGTATGTAGACTTCTAGAACCTCGTGTCTACAAAGTGACAAACTTCACAAGGGCATCACCTCCTATGGAGTGTATCTACCAGACAGAGTCAGAAGAAAAAGTCAAGATCACCTCATTTTCTGAATTCCTTAAGACCCTACAGGAAATTAAAAGAAAATTTATAGGAGTAAATATGAAAAATAAATCCTCACAAACAGTGGAAGAGGCTCAAAGAAAGGCTACATATGACATCACCGCAGCTCTGAGCTCCTTCTTGAACTTCCTCAGAGAGTCTGAGCAGCCAGATATGCAGCTGCTACTACTCTCCATTGCAGCTGGTGCAGGATATCAGCTGGAAAGCAGTGTTTTTCAGTCTTTCCTGGGGTGTGCTGAGTTAAACTTTCTCCTGGATGAAATACAAACTGTCCAACATAAATACCAAGAGCTCAAAAATATTTGTAGTTACAGAGCCCAGGCATTTCTAGTCCTCACAGCACTGAGAGCCACAGTTAGAACCACAGATATTTCTATAGATGAGAAAAGACAACGTTTGGAATTAGTAAGAGAATATATAGGACAACTCTTGTCTGAAGAAGTTGTAAGCATCCTCATGAAACATAGAGTACACCATGACTGGGAAAATCTGGAGAATGATTTGAGATTACTTGTTTCTGAGGACTATATAGACACTACTGCTTCTTTGCGTATGGACAAAGTGAAAAAAAAGTTGCAAAGTCTCCGTAATGAAATTAAAGAGTCTTATAAACAAGAAAGTATTGAAAACAGCAAAAAGGAGGTGATGGACAATGAACATTTTACACACTTACTCCAACATCTAGGCTTGTATCATCACTATCCAAAAAAGATGAGCAGAGCTAATTTCCATCTGATCTACAAGAAATCTGTACACAAGTCCCAGCCAAGATCTGAACAGGAACTTCCTTTCTATTTCCTGCAAAAACTACTGATGCTGGATTGCAGGTTGAGACAACTGACTATCAAAGATGATGGAAACACAGAATACCAGGTCTCTGGACATTCCTATAACCAGGGTAATGAGGTTTTTGATCCATATGAAGAGTTATTTGAAGAAAGTGAAGATTTCTCAAAATTATCCGTCAAAATGTCCCAGCCCCACATTCACCCAATGGACATCCAGATGGCCATTTTTCACTGTGCAGATGATCTTGCCAGGCAATATATTTTGACTAAACTTTCCATTTGTCAATTTGCACTACCCCTAGTGGTGCCAAATCCCAGCACTTCTCAGATTGAATTTTCTCTGTGGTCTCTCAGACAAATTAGGAGAAGTTGGCAAGAGGCAAGTAAATCACCACAGGACAAGAGCTATAGTCACCGGAATCAGCAGATGTGCTGTGTCTCTACCCCTATCGTATCCTTCATTAGAGTTGGAAATGGCCTTTCTGCTTCCAAATCTCAGATCATGAACTCTCTCCTCAGTAAATGTAAACATGATGTGTTTTTTCACAGACACTGCAGAGGAAGCAGCAAACACTGTCTCCTGATGGAGGGAGTGGTAGAGATCTCCTGGTTCTGTCCTGGTGGCCAAGGTGAGGACACATTTGATAAGTGTGTGGCCTTCACCAATCTTCATGGGGATGCCAAAGAATATAGGCAACAACTCAGCTTCCTGCAGGATGTGTCTTCTGTCATCGTGATCCTCATGTCTGCTTCTGATAATAATAAAGAAAACCAGAATCTTGTCAGACACTTGTGTCAGTCATCAGTACCTCTATTGTGCTTGCTGGATGATAAAAAAAATGTCTTGGCCAATAATCTTGGTAGAAGAGTGAGAATTGGTATCAGGAATAGAAATGAAGCAGAATTAACTGAGGAACTCACAAATGCCATTAAACATTTACTAGAACTATCTGACACTTCTCTCAGCTTAGAAGAATGTTCACATATGGCTCGAAGACAAGGATTCCTGGTTGATGAAGATCAGAGTGTCTGCAAGGATGCCAAAGAAAAGGCTGAGATAATAATGGCCCTACTAGCAAAACAGACATTATCAAAGATAAAGGAAAATGTTTTACCTCTTCAGGGACAACTCTGGCATACTTGGTGTAAGAAAGACAAAGAACTCTATCATCTGAGAGAAAAGGGAAATCGGAGCATTGAACAGCATAAAAGTGACATAGATACTCAGAAACAAAATATACGGTATCAACAATTAGAGAAAGCTTTTCCTCTCAATGATGTAATGCGTTCTTTCCTTAAAATAATTCAAGAAAACAAAGAAGCTGCTTCTAAACATTACATCTTGTATTGGTTGAGTCTTTTTTTACACAATTTAACCAAAGGACATTTGGAAAAATTACAGCAGAAACAAAGGTCTTTGTGGTCAATGGTACAAACAGAAAAACATAAGGAATATAAAAGCAACTCCCTGACACTCTGGCAGAATCAGATAGAAGCCATCTCTGTGGAGATTCATGACTGTACTTTTGGAATTGAGCACCTTCTCCGAGAAACTGGTCAGATCTATGAAGCTCTGGAAGAAACTTCTTCCACTACAGATAAAAGTTTTCTCTCTCTCCCTCAGATTGCTGCAGACCTGATGATAGCTGGTGTTCCCATTGAGCTGATGGATGGGGATGCTTCATATGTGCCTCTAAAATGGGTGACTGCAGTTTTTGACAAGATCTCAGAGAAAGTTGGTGACAAAAGGCTGTTTGTTCTCTCTATCCTTGGTCTGCAGAGCTCAGGGAAGTCCACTCTGCTGAATGCCCTGTTTGGGCTACAGTTCACAGTCAGTGTGGGTCGTTGCACCAGGGGGGCCTATATGCAGCTTCTGAAGGTAGATGAGACATTCTCAAAAGAGCTTGGCTTTGATTATGTGCTAGCAGTAGACACAGAAGGACTTCGGGCTCCAGAACTCAAAAACAAATCCCAGAATCGGGACAATGAGTTGGCTACATTTGTTATTGGCCTTGGAAACTTGACTCTGATCAATATTTTTGGGGAGAATCCATCAGAGATGCAGGATATCCTACAAATTGTGGTCCAGGCATTTCTGAGAATGAAACAAGTGAAAATCTCTCCCAGTTGCATCTTTGTCCATCAGAATGTGGGAGAAGTTACAGCAAAAGACCAAACTATGGAAGGCCGAAGGAGACTAGAGGAGAGACTGGATGAAATGACAGCAGTAGCTGCTGAACAGGAAGAGTGCCCAAACATAACCCGCTTCAGCGATGTCATTAAATTTGATGCCGATAGTAATGTCTACTACTTTGCCCACCTCTGGGATGGCAATCCCCCAATGGCCCCTCCCAATCCTCACTATAGCCACAATGTACAGGAGTTGAAGTGTGGGATTTTTAGGACTGCCCAGCAGGAATCCAGGGGGAGGATCATGAAGATATCAGATGTAAAATTTCGAGTTCAAGATTTGTGGAAAGCCCTGGTCAGTGAGAACTTCATTTTCAGTTTCCGGAACACCCAAGAGGTCATGGCCATGAATAAACTGGAAACCAGTTATAACCACTGGACTTGGGAGCTGAGGAGTCATGTGCTGGAATTACAGAATCAGCTGAACAATCAGATTCAGAATGGGAAAATTTTGACTCTCACAACTAATGCACTGGAGAGTCCAGTTAATAAGAGGTATGAAACTATCAAACAAGAATTTGACAAGTATTTTGAAGAAGACCCAGATAGTGAAACATTGGTACAATGGAAAGCAAATTTTGAACATAAGCTACTCATTCTTAAAGATGCACTTATTTCAGACACCAGAAGGAAAGGCAATGAACTCATCAGTCTCAAACAAAGCCAAGAAAGACTAGATAACCAAAAGTCACAATATGAAAATGAATTGATAGAGAAGAGCCGAAAGTTGGCTTTAGATGTTAAAGGTAAAGAATTAAGTGATGAAGAGTTGCATGAGAAGTTCAATCAACTTTGGACAAATTGGATCCACAGTGTGTCTTTGACTGTACCTCCTGTCAAAGAACCTGACATTGATTTGGATTCTGAAAATATCCTTCTGGATTATTTCAAGAAAGAGAAAAACATTGTGGAAAGACTCAAAGTGAAGTCTGGAGAGATGTTTGAAATCAATTATTCCAAACATGTCCAAATGAAAAAAAAATGTATGATATTTTCAAAGAATTTAGAAACCTGTCATAAGGAGTCCATTAATAGGACTACTAATAACATTTATTTAAGAAATAATGAAATAATAAAAAACATTTGGAAGCAAAAGCGTGATTACAGTCAGAATGATTTTCATGAAATTCTGAGGATAATAGAAAATGAACTGAAATCTGTTCCCCCTGAGGAAGACTACACATTTACCAGAGACTACACCATTGACTTATCCTTGTGCTTATTCCAAGGAGCAGCCAAGAGTTTCAAGGAAATGCACAAGGCATTTAAGAGTGCAAATGATCCAGTGAACTATCTGGAGAGAAAGAAAGATGATTTGTTCTTGAATTTTAAGATCTCCTGCCAAGGTGCCACCTCTATCACATCCTTTGTTGACTTCCTGTGGCTCAAGCTCACTCCTGCTATCTCTGTCACCATATGGGAAATAATAGGTCTTAAAGTAGCTGGGGACGTGAGAACCACCTGCTCTGCATTCAATGGAAACAGGGCTAACCTGGAGAAGCATATTCTCCATTCTCTAGCTGAAGAAGAAAACTTTGTTAAGTATTGGCAATATATTCATCAGCCAGAATCCTTTTTCAGGGATTACATTAGTGAACACATTAGAAGATACTGTTCAGAAAAAGAAGGTGAAAAAATAAAGACCACTTTAAAAATAAGTTTAGGTGACATCAAGAATGCCATCCTCACTGCCATTCATGAATCCACAGCAGTAGCTAAAGATAAAACCAGTATTGCTTCTGGCTGGTTAGATTTGTTCTGTGATAACCTAGGAAGCAACCTGATCTTTCCCAGAAGAGACCTGATAAGTATTGAGCACCAGGAGATTAAGGATACTGAGTTTTTCAAAGAAACCATGAATGCAGCTTTGGATCTTGCAATGAGGAAAGTAGAAGAGGACTGCTCAAGTAGGCCCATAGATGAAATAGTTCCTGACATTGAGAAAATTCTCTCTGAACATCTCTGTGGCTGCTGGAAACAGTGCCCTTTTTGTAAAGCAATTTGCACAAACACCATTCCCCAACATGAAGGAGACCACAGTGTGCCATTCCACCGCCCTAATGCTGTCAATGGATGGCATTATAATAAAACAGACTACTTTGCCACTGACTTCTGTACTACTTCTGTAGCAAGTGATGGTTCATTTATTTTAAGTGATGACAGAAAATTCCCATACAAGAAATACCGAGAAGCAGGAGGTGATTTTGCCACATGGAGCATCACCCCAGACTCATCTACCCAGCCATATTGGAAATGGTTTATCTGTCACTTCAGATCAGAGCTTGAGGAAAGATATGGAAAAAAATTTAAAAAGTGGGGTACTATTCCAGATCCATGGTTCAAAATCACAAAACAAGAAGTACTCGATGACTTAAAATAATATTTGCCACAGATAGGACACTAGCATTGCCGTAGTAGTTTCACATTATCAGATGTGAGTCTCTTATTAATTTACATCACACCTTCATGCTTCTAAATTCAATTAATTGAATAAGTAAAAAATAAGTAAATTAAATGAGTAAAAACTAAATCAGTTAATATTTCAAGATTTGAAGATTTTCTACTAAAATGATTTCATTTCTGTCAGACTTGATATATCCTGTTTTATACATAATATACTGAATATGTTGATGTTTTGACTTGCTTACTTTGATTTTTATTTTGGGGGTTGGGGCTGTTGTGGTTCTCTGTTTTTTATTGATTGTTCTTTTGCTTTTTGAAAGAGAGGAAAAAATTAAAAATTGTGTGGGTAGGGAAATGGGGAGGACCTGCAAAAAATTAGGGAAGGTGGAAAAACAATATCAAAATTTGGTGTGTGAACAAGTTTTTCAACAAAATAAAAAGTATAAAAATTAAAAACCTGGTGTTGATGAAAAGATAAACATGATATTACTGACTCATATATGATTTTTAGACATAGAGCAAAGGATTACCAGTCTATAATCCACACTGCCAGCAGAGTTTAAAAACAAGGAGGACTCCAAAAGAAGAGTGCATAGTCCCTCGAAGAAGGGGAGGGGGACAAAAACCCCTGACCAAAGTGGGAGCCTGGGGCAAGGGGAAAGGAAAGAGGTGGTAAGGGAAGAATGAGAGTGGGGCGGAGAACAAGAGGACTGAGACAGGTGAGGAATAGAGGAGGGCAAGAAAGGAGATGTCTTGATAGAGGGAGACAGTACAGGTATGCAGAGAGAAGTCTGGCACAGGGGAACTGTTAGGGGATCCACAGGAATGACCCTAACTAAGAATCCAAGCAGTGGTGGAGAAGATGCCATTGATGCCCTTCCCCTATAATGAGATTGGTGTCTACCTTGGTTACCATTCCTAAAGCCTTCATCCAGTAGCTGTTCAAAGCAAAAACAGGCACCCTCAGCTAAGCACTGAACCATATTCCTGGATTCCAGTTGTGGAAAGGGAGGAGGGTAAGCAAAGGAGCCAAGATGGTGCTGCAGAAACCCGCAGAAACAGCTGACCTGACCTAGTGAGAGCATGGAGGCCCTAGTTATAAAGCTAGGGAAACAGCATTGGACCAAACCGAACCAAGCCCTCTGAATGTGGGTGCCAGCTATGAAGCCAAGACAGTCTATGGGACCTCTAACAGTGGAGCCAGTCTTTAACACTAGAGCACAAATGAACTTTTGGAGCCCATTCCCTATGGAGGGATACTATTGCAGCCCAGATACAAGGAGGGCCTAGACCCTCCCCAAAATGATATGACAGACTTTGAAGGTGCCCTGTGGAGGGCCTCACTATCCCTGGGGAAGGAGGTGAGGGATGGGTTGGGGGGGTTGGGGGAGAACATGGGAGGATGGGAGGGTAAGGGAATGGGGTGATGGATATGTAAATATGAGTAGTAATTAAAGATATGTAAATTAAAATTTAAATATTTAAAATAAAAACTGGTGTTGCATGTATGTCTGAGAAGAAATCATTCCTAGAATTACATTATGGTGATCAGGTAAAAAAGGCTGATTTTTAACAATGATTGTCAGTTTGACATGATCTAGAATCACCTAGGAGCCAAGACTCCAAGTCATTAGTGAAATCTATTTTTTGATAATTGAGTCTATGCCTAGGGAAGATGTTAAGGAATAGATTAATGGATATAGGAAGACTTCCCTAATTGGGAAGCACAATTTCCTAGGCTGCAGTCCTAGACAGTATGAAACCAAGAAAGTTACCTGAGCACCGACCATTCATTACTCTATGTTTGTTCCCCAGTGATGAGGTGAGACTATCTGGCTCAAGTTCCAGCCTCTGTAATTTCCCATACTCTGAACTCAAACTGAGCTGGAACTCTGCTTGAATTGATTTTGTTCCAGTGATGTGTAGTGTTACCTAACTGTATGAGACAATTTTCTGCTCTTGGTATAAAAATACCATAACCAAATGCTACTTGCAGAAGAAAATGATTGTTTTGGCCGTGGTTCCAGAAATCTAACTCTCATCACAATGGGGAAGCACAGAAATTAGAAGCAGGAGCAAGAGCCTGAGAGATCACATCTCAACTTCACATAGAAAACAAAGAGCAAACTGTGAGCCAATGGGGCTATGAACTCTCAAGCCTGACTCCAGTGCTATCCTTCTCTACAGCAAAGGTACATAGGCTGAGAAGAAATGCAGTATAATTTAGAATTTTCACATCTCCCCAAACAGTGGCATGAACTAGGTACCAAATGTTCAAATACATAAACCTATGGGTCATTTCTCATTCTAATCACAGTTTTCTACAACTGACCCCCAGAAGCTCATGACTATGTCATACATAATGCAAAACCCATGTATTCCAACACTAAAATTCCCATAGTATTTAATAGCCTCAACATTGATTAAACTACAAAGTTTAAGTAAATTCTGAATCTTCAGAAAAACTCTTAACTTTACAACAATGAACAATAATAAAAATAAATAAAATCTATAAAAAGAACTACATAGATCTAACAGGGACACAGAATATATGTTCCCATTCCAAAATGGGGCATGAGAGAGTTATAGTGAGAAAGCATAGAGCAAAGCAAGACAGAAACCCATCAGGGAAAAGACCAAATCCTGTAGCTCTGTCTCTGGTATATGAAGGTTCAGTCTCAAAGGAGTTTCTTGACTCTAGCCCTCCAACTTTGCTGTATATAAAAACAGTTCTCACTTATGCCAGTTCTACTCTCTGTATGCCTCATGTCTCAGACATCTCCAACATCTTAGGAACATGTGGTATATTTGTTTCTATTGTTTTGAGGAAGATTCACATTAATTCCTATAGTGGCTCCAACAGTTTGCACTCCCATTCACAACAAAAAAGTGTTATATCCCATCCTATACCCTTCATCCATCAACTGGTGGAAGTTGAAGCAGACACTCAAAGCTAAACACTGAACTGAACTAAAATCCAGTTGCAGAGAAGGAGTGATGAGCAAAGGGGTCCAGACCAGGTTGGTGAAACCCACAGAAACAACTGACCTGAACAAGAGGAAGCTCTTGTTCCCCAGACTGATAGCTGGGAAACCAGCATGGGACTGATCCAGACCCCATGAACATGGGTGTCATTGAGGGGACTTCAGAAATCTATGTGGTGCCTTGTAGTAGATCAGTACTTATCCCTAGCATAGGAATGAACTTTAGGAGCCCATCCCACATAGAGGTATACTCCCTGAGCCTAGACACACGGGATGGGCCTAGGCCCTATCCCAAAGTATATGACAGACTGGGAAGACCCCCTATGGAAGGCCTCACCCTCCCTGGGGAGCAGAAAGGATATGGGATACATAGGGTGATAGTTGGGGGGGGAGGGGAGGAGGGGAGGGAGAGGGCACTGGAATTGACATGTAAAACAATCTTGTTTCTAATTCAAATAAAAAAATTAAAAAAAAAAACTGTTGTTTCCCAAATACTCACCAGCATTTGTTGTGATTTGTACTTTTGAACTTGGCCATTCTGGATATTTTACAGTGAAGTCCAAATTAGTTTTAATTTGCATATTCCTGATGGTTAAGGATATTGAACATTTTAAAGAATACATTTAGTGGTTATTTGAATTTCTTCTTCTGAGAACTGTATTTTGTCCAGGCCCCATTTATACTGGGATTGTTTTCTTGGTGCTTTATATATTCTAGACAGTAATCCTCTCTCTGATGTAAATCTTGTAAATCTTTGCTCCCATTCTTCTTCTTTACCATCATGATGGTATTCTTTGCTATATAGAAGCTTTTTAGTCTCATGTGGTCTCATTTGACAAATTAGGTCTTAATGTGTGTGACACCAGAGTCCTTGTTTAGAAAGTCCTTTCTTGTGTCTATAAGTTGAAGTATTTCTCCTCTATTGGATTCAGAGTATCAGATTTACTGTTAAATATTGTCCACTTGACACAAACTGGGGTCTCATGGGAGGAAGGAATCTCAACTTGGGACTTACTTCTTTCCCAAGTTTCTGTGGTGTGTTTCTGTGGGGCAGTCTCTTGAATAATGATTGATACCAACTCCATGGTTATCATTGCCACATCTGGACTGGTGACTCTAGGTTGTATAAGAATACAAACTTAACAAGTGATGAATAACAAGTCAATTAGTAGCAGTGTTCCATGGTTCTGCTTCAGTTCTTACCTCTAGGCTTCTGCTTAATTTGCTCAGTGATGGACTATGAACAGAAATCAGAAGACAGATAATTCAGTTCCTTTCCAAGTTGATCTCATTCAGTGTTTTATCATAACAAGAGATAAGCAAATTAGGACAGAGAATTTATGCTGAGGTCCTTGAACCATGTATGACTGAGTTTTGTGCAGGAATGAGATAATTAGCTTTTTTCTTCTACAAGGAACTGTGCTAATGACCAGTACCATTTGTTGGAGATGCTATCTTGTCTCCAATGTTTAGTTTTTGTAAATTGAATTCTTAGGTGGTCTAGATAACAAAAACTCAGAGTCAGATATAGAGAAAAAATGTTGAGAGTTCAGAGAGAAGGAGCAAGCCACTGCCACACCTTACTTCCTTAGTGTCTCAGCAGACAAGAGAATGAGTTCCTGTTTCTCCATGTTTGTATCCTGTTTCTGCCCAGCTACCTCACCTCCTGTCTGTCTGTACAGACCTCCAGACTTCTATGGCTAGCTAGTGTCAGACTCTATTCTCTGACCTTCAGACAAGCTTTATTTGTACAAGCAAGATGTCTGCACAATTTTTTCCTATTTGTCCATAATCAGGCAGCTATAAAACAATGGGCTTATACATTAATTATCAGTTCTACTGCACTGATCAATGTGTCTGTTTTTATTGTGGTGCCATACTGTTTTTATTTCTATATATCTATAGCATAACAAATGTCCCATCTTTCCTCCTATGAGGATGCTAGCTTTGAGTCTTTAAACAGGTATGTTAACATTAAAGTACTCATAAAAGT